CTTGAAGCCCTATGTTCCACTGGGAACGTAAAGGAATAACAATAGTGTGAAAAAAAATACATAAAATGCTATGGATTGATTTTACTCATCTGTGAAAACTTGGAAAACTGGCCAGTACCAATTTTCTTGTTATGCTTTAATAGTAAAAATAATCAAATCAAAATAAGGAAGTCAGTCGCAGATAAAACTGCAACACTATACTCCATCATCCACTAGAGCATAGAATGCCATTGGACTCTATACCTCAACTTCGTCGACTTTGGGGAAGTCTTTGACTACACCAATCATGAAGTAATTTGGCAGTTTTACTTCAGCACTTATAAACCTCATCTAGTAGCTGCATCATTATGCCACACGCCAAGTTATTCATGACCGAAAGCTCACTGAAGGCTTTGAATTGATGACAGGGGTAAGACTAGGATGCCTACTATCACTCACGATCTTCCTGACTAAGCTGAACTGAATCATGGGGCAGACCAAGGAAAGTAAGAAAATGGGTATACGTTAGGCTCAAAAAAGGACTTTAGAAAATCTTAATTTCGTGGATGGTTTGTGTCTCATTCCTTACAAAGTGGAATATTCACAAACGAAAACCGTCAAGTTTACGGTGGAGGTGGTGGAGACAGTGGTGGCATAGCGTTTAGGACGCCAGCCAAGGAATTATGGTCAAGAACCTATTGTGGCGGTGTGATACAGACAATGTGTGCCAACGGAATATTACTTTCACATATTCCCACAGTTCAATTCGGAATTAGCAACAGAATAAAATATATCTATTTGAACATTCTGTTTGCTGCTAGAGTTAGAATAATATGTATTTGAACATTCTATTTCATGTTGTATGATGTAAACTGAAACCACACGCTCAGTGGCTGGTTAAAAAAATATAAACTGTAGATATATAAACAACGGTTTCATTAATGAAAAACATACCTTGGCTTCCGTGTCTTGCCTTCTCTTCTTACACTATGACTGCTACAACAAACATACGGGCGGAAATGAAGCTGGATTGGACATAAACTGAGATCTTTGAGTAACATCATAAACAAGCAGGTCCCTCAAGAGGAACAGGAATGGGAAGCGATGAACTGGACAAGGACCCGAAGGTGATATGGACGAAATCATACGAGAAGGGATTCAAGCCTTGGACAGTCGTGGAGTCGGAAGAAAGTGATAACACAGAATGGCGTGTAACTGTGATATGCTGCTGAATCTCCATCTATTTTCTAATCAGTATGCATAAATGTAATAATAACTGACCAGTGAAAAAAATAAAGCAGAACCGTTTCAGAAACAGACCTATCAATGTTGGTGAACATTGAATAGTTTGTTTTTTCGAACTGTTCTCGACATGGCAGGAGAGAAGAAGACTGCCATCGTTTAATTGGATACTGGTTGTGAGGAGATTGGGGAAATATGATCAGAAGTATCGCTGTATATTACATTAACGTTTATTCACAGACTTCGGCATTGATTAACCGTTGTAAATCTATTTCGTTATCGCTTGAAGAATCAACAATCGTGTTGCCCAATCGTTTTCTGTTGTTCTTAGTCGGTTTCAGTGCATAGTATTGGACGTATTAAGCTTAATCTTCTGAAACCAGTGATAAGTCTGGGATCTCAGCGATCTGGATATTTGACAAGCCCACTAGTGTACTCAAAAGAATGAAGTCAGCCATGAATTTATGATCACATTCGACCAACAGGATCAACAGTGTCAAGACAATATGGTTCGCCAAAAATACGCAAAACCGATCTCCTACTGCGTTCAAGTTTATACATGTTAGTTTAAGCATGTCATTCCGTTGCGAAATGGTTAGCTGATAATTTAGAAACTTTAGTAAAACAGATGAGCCACCATTCGCCTCGTGACACCTTTCAAACAGTTAACTGTATGCGAGATATCACTGTGTCGAACAAAAGTTTGCTATCTCTTGACACTGAATCACTATTTGCCAAAGTTTTCCTCACGGAAACTATCTGTCATATTAATCCTTATGTAGACGAAAATCAGCTGAACACTGAATTATTAACAGTTTGTCTGAAGGAACTACTACTGAGGTGCACTCTTAATGTGCGACTCACGTTCAGTGACGTCATTTACATACAGAAAGATGAGATCACAATTGGATTTCCCCTGGGTCCACTGCTAGCAGACTGTTTCATGGCAAGTCTCAAGAATGGTCCACTTAGATCAACTACTGGGAATTTTCACTTGTATGTTAGATATGTGGATGACATCTTTATTATCTGTGATTACAGTCATGATCGTAATCAATGTTACAGATATTCATCAACTACCATCCAGCAACAAAGTTTACTCTTGAAACAGAAAATGAATCTAAAATTCCTTCTTTTGATGTTAAACTTACAAGAAGAGCCAACGGAACTGCAATAGTGTCCATCCATAGGACGGTCACCTGACAAGTTCCTACCGATGAGTACCAGTTAGTAATAAAAGAAACCTAAATATATCTCTTGCCACTCTCGTCCAACGCATCTGTAGCCCTGATGCTCTCGAAGAATCGCGCTTTTTGAAAGAAATCTTCATGCAAAACGGATATCCGCCAAGGTATATTGACAAGACGAGAGAAGTCGTCCGTGCCAATAAAAGAACTTTATGCGAACCTCAACTTTAAAGGTGACCTACTCAGTGATGAGGAGAATTTCGAGTTCATCAAGAGCAAATTTCTTCTTAGTAACGCTGAGAGAAGTGTTCTCTGGTCACCCACAGGTTTGCGGAAATTCCGAGGACACGATGTTGCATCTGACGACTTCTATGTCTGTATATCAGTTCACCTGTTCTTATGGAGCCAGGTACATTGGTCGTTCAACGTGTATCCTGCCTAAAAAGGTTCGAAAACACTATTCCACATGGTTGCAGAAGATTAACAGTGGCTCCATAAGGGGTGCGATAGTCGAACACCTGGACGACACTGATCATCCCATCTCAACAAACGCCTCCTTCAAAGTAACCTACAAAGTGAAGAATAGCCTGCTAAAGGCAATACTTTTTCGTCTTCTCTGCATTGTTGAAGCCTTAGCCACTCATTTAGAAAAACCGGAGCTGTGCATACAGAGGGAAACTATTCAACTACTTCTACTACCATGGTAACGGCCTCGTTGATTTCTACTGACTTGATTTTTGTTTGTTTGTTTTTCCAACTCCTTAAAACTCTTCTATTTTTTCAGAATTTTCAGAACTCTTACTCTTGCACAGGTGAAGAGGTAAATGAATTCGCCAAAAAGAGCCTCTTCGCTGAAATACTCGTCTTATTTTTTCAATGTCATTTTATGATACTTTATGATATTTTACGGAATCTGTGGGCAGGACGTGTCATGACGCAAATCTGTTACCACCACTACCTGGAATTACTCAAAGTGACTCCTGCTTCTTTATCCGTTGGACATTCGATTCGAATATAATAACTAGCTTTACGGATACATTGATAGGATTGCGATCGGCTCTCCTCCGGTAGCCATACTGGCAGATACCTTGATGAATAATATTCAGCAGGCAAAGGTAGTCCATGAAACAATCTACTATCGCTGATGGATTATTGATACTTCTGTTGCTTCTGAGAAAATGGGTCACGCATTTCAGGTATTGCACCTTCTCAATGAAATGCAACCTTACACTGAATCCACCATGAAATATGAGCAAAAAAGAGTTTATTTTGCTAGATCTAAATATAAGAAGGGGTATGACCATAAAGTCAATCCACAGAAAAGAAACGCTTACACAGTATGATCTTCGGTACAATATCTTCTATCCTGTCAGCTATTAGCATGGATTAGTGAAAAGACTCTACGACAGAGTCATGAGGCTATGTTCACCCAATAATCTGAAAGAAGAATTAGGCTTAGTTGAGAAATACCAAAGAGACAGGGGATATCCTAAAGTATTCGTCCTGAAGCATGGTAAAGAAAAAGTCAAGGATAAGAAATACGCAGCATGCAACTATGGAAATGAAGAAAGAGTTTATATGTCTTCCATTCAAAGAGAAAAAGTATCCCAAAGTATTGACAGAATAATAAAAGAATCAATAAAAAGAGGTTTCTCATCAGCTATGCTCAATCAGCCAATATAAACTGGCTAAACACCTAGCCGACATCACTTCAAGCTGTGTTTATAAGTTTACATGCATTTACCCTAACGAGCATATCTAAATGGCAGAAAAGAGAGCTTCCATCCCATCTCTGAGCATGTGCCAAGAAAGGAAGCAGATATATACAAAGCACAATTACAATACACCAAATGGACACAGAGCTTTCTTTGAGGTCTCCAAATCCTTCAAAATATTAAATGTGCAAAGGACACCAAGTCTAATGTGATTTGCTGAAGCGATTGCAATCGAACATTTCCAACCGAACTTCTCTTTTGTCCCAACTTCAGCACAAAGATAAAACTATGATTTAATGAATCAATCGCAAACTTTTCCACAACATTAGTCTTAAGATTCACTTACGACTACTTTAATGATTATTATTAATGTTAGGAATTCTTAGTAGTGAAGTTCTTTCACAACAGAATTTGTATGTTTATTGATTTTTTCTGTATGCACATATCATATATGCCTTAGCATAATAAAACTTTTGCTTATATTTGCCAATTTCGGTGACATTTACGAGACAACAAGCTATGTTTAATCGTGCCTAACATGTTTAATTACAATTGCAGCATATAACAATCCGTCGTCGTTATATAAATGACTCTGCATTATCTAACTACCTTCTAACTTTCCTTGACTATTATTCTCTTTCTCTCTCTCCCTCTCCCTCTTTCTCTGACAATCAACTTTGTACACACAATCGATTAGATGGCCGAATCCAATTCAGTTTATTGGCACACTACTAACACGCATCATTTTGCACACAGACAGCGGGGTAGAAACTCTAACCCTTTGGTATGTATGTATTTGTCTTCTGGTGTCTGCATTGAATTCTCTTTCCCTTAAACGATATCAATCAATGCACACACACAAACACACACGCAGACCCACATACAAACATTCGCATTATAATACGTAGGGGCAGATTCCTGCCCCTCGGAATTTAATTGTGCATTTTCGAAATCAAATCTTTTGTTTTACATTGGCTAATCGAAAGTGTTTTTCAAAATAGAGTGTAGTGGGTAGAGAAAGCATTCCTTGATAAGCACGTACACACACATATAGAGTTTTTCGATTTCATTTCATTTTCAGATTAAGGATTAAAATACCCACAGAGAGTGTGTTACTGTTACTGTGAGATTAATAATAACAAAATAATAACAAAAATATCATGTCAACTGTCGCTATGCCTGCAACTGCATATCAAACATCTGCTGCTGGTGCTAATGCTGGAAATCCTCCACAAATTCTAGGACCATTGTCTGGTGGCGGTGAAGTCCCTGAAGGAGAACCAGTTCACTTGGAGTTAAGAATTGCCCCACCAGGAGATTTACAAGTACAATGGTTTAAAGATGGTGTTGCGCTGAGTGCCGGTAAGTGGTTATTACTATACAACTTGTTTTGATAAATATTTTAAATCGATAACTCTGTAGAATAGTGTAGTAAAATGTTAACTGCAGATAGAGTTTGAATTGTCATTGTCTTACTTCTGATGTATTCATAAAAGTATGTACGAGGTCTTATCTACTCAAATGTTACCTCATAAATGTGGTCTAATCTGACCGTAATCAGTGCTAGTAATTCTTACTTACTAAAAACCCAAAACTTAAATGAAACTATTAACAACAATGTATTAATGAAAGGAACAATAAAAGGGACCGTTTACTTAGTATTCGTCATGCCTTACAATTTTCCTATCACATAAAATGTGTGCCAACCAAGATACCGTAGAGTTTTTATACTTACTCGTTTGAACAAAAAGTTCTTTGATAGTTACTTCTAGTCCGACATGTTGAAATGCAAAGAGATAGAGATAGGTAGAGAGTTGTGTCTTGAGAGGATGTTCAGAGTTCGAGAAGATAATATTCGCTGATTTCTTGTATGACTTCAGGTGTGTCCATTATGGATAAGATTTTATTTGATAAATCACACAGTGTTATACAGTAATATTAACTGATGACCACGTTTCTAGCACAAACTATTGCCACTCATAATCATATCAAGTCACTCACACAACTTTCTTGCTTCATTTTTATACGTGTGTGAAATCAGTTAGACATTCGAATAGAAATCAAAATAGGATAATGTACATTCAGAATTAATAGTATGATTGTTGTTGATCAATTACAATCAGATGGGAAACAAGACGTGTGTTTTTATAATCAAAATAGATAACTTGTTAGAATGTTGTGATGTACGTGAATTGAAATAGAATTTTAAGATTATTTATTCTCCTCCTCTGATTTGACTGGTGGTAATAATATCTTCCATATCTTTGGTATTTGCATTGAGTCATTTCTGTTGCATGTATTGGATGCAGACTCAATGAACCAGGCAGGATTCAGTAATCAATCTCTCCTTCCGCCTACATAGATTACTTCTTAGAATCTTAAACCTCTCCCACCCTATTGTATGGTTGTGTGTTAATACATGCAGTGCAATTGCTGAGCTTTTTTCTAAATTACTTATCTTCTCGGGATCAACCATTCTTACCTTAGCTGAATTCTTATGTTCCGACAATCTGATTACACCCGACCTACTAGTTTGACCTACGCAGTTGACTTAACTCACAGTCATTGCAAGGTATTTTGTAAATTATATTATTTTGTCTAATTGGGTCAACCTTCAGGGTCCTCTAGCCTAAAGAGCTTGTCTCTGAGTGAGTTTGTAGGTTCAAATGCCACCCTAATTCCTGCTTTATTGAGAATCCTACGTAGGGTCTCAGATGTCCCCTCCTTATATGGTATAACAGTAGATGACTTATATTCTCTTTTATTTATGTTATTATTACTAGTTTCACAATTATTTTTATTTTGCTTTTGGCCTTTTCCGATCTTCCTAATGAATTTTATAGGATAGTTATTTGACACCAACGCTTCTTCTTTCTGTTTCATGTCATCATTTAGGTCTTTTCTTGTGCTACTTAGTGCTACTGCTCGGTTTGTTAGACACTTAACTAAGCTTGTCTTTACAGACAACGGATGAGATGAATTAAGGCTCAAATACCTATTAGCAGAATGCGTTTGTTTTTTATAAACACTAGTGTGCAGTTTACCTTCTTCTATTCGTTTTATTTTACAATCTAACATTACTAATTCTCCTTGTTCATTTTCCGATTCAAATGTGAATTTTATTCCCTCCACTAGTGAATTTAAATGTATCAAGTAGCTAGAGATATGTTCTGTTTTCAGCACTTTGAAAGTGTCAGTCACCCACATATCTCCACCATATTTTTGGAGTGGGATTCAATGTATTAAGGTGTCTCTCTACAACAGTATCAACAAGTTAGTTTAGTAATAAAGAAGAACAGGTAGAAAATAGGAATTACCAAACTGTAAAATTAGGGACTGAGTGATACCAGATTGTCTTAGCTTCCTTACATAGAAGCTCGAATGAAATATCTTTCTAGAAATCAGCATGCTTATTGGAAGACCAAGAAAGATCACAGGAATGACATAATCTGATGATATTTAACATTCAGTTTAGTTTCAACTCCAGTGCCACCCAAGATACTAGAATCACGGGAACGAACTAGTTCATGTAAGTCGCGCTTGTATCTAACAGTGAAATTGACACCCTGACATTTCGAGGGATTTAGCTTAATTAATAACATTTGACAAGGACCACTGACTAATTTCTGATAAAAAGTAGGAAATAATATTTATAAGGATGAATTTGTATCACTGTCCAAAAACAGAAAAGTGGTTCCTATCTCTTAGCTTTTCCATTGACACAGAAATTATTACTTTTTTGCTGATATATTACTTATGACTGCTTATAAGTAGCATATGTCATAAAACTAATACTGTAGAGTAAACAAATATTAGAAGCTTACTGCTACTTACCATTACTTGTTATGCAGAATGGAATTAGTATTTCTGCATCACGAACGTGTTCTTTTGGATTTCAAGTTTCCTGTTTTCTTAAGATCAATGTCATAGTTTTTTTGGAATTAGAACAATATCTGAACAAATGAAAGTCGCAACACTAGAGAGAATTTAGATAGCGGAATAACTCTAATCTGTAAGTGGTACGACACATAAAGGACTTTTCATAGCTTATATTATAGTCCTGTAAATCTGGGATTCTGGATTAATCTGTCATAAAAACTACAAGATCATACTGAGTGTCTTGGTATAAAACTCAGCTATGACAATAGCGTAAAGATTAACTTCAGTCTGATTGTATTTAGCTTTGAATATGTAAGAGCTTTGATCACATCTCAACTGATGTGTTAGTTAGCCTTATTTCTGATGATCTAGAAAAGCCAATCTTAAAAGCAGAAATGAGTGAAACCACTACATGAAAATAGGTTTAACGGGTGAAAAAATGGATTGTTACATTTCTCTCGCCGTTAAAAGCAGTTCACAGTTTGTCGAATCATATCGATTAACATTTCAAAAACACTACTGTCTACACTTTCCGGAAATTCTGATGAATTTCAGCCGATACACTTCAAATCCTAGATGTTACCTTTCAACATACTACTGACAAAAGGAAGTACAGAAAAACGAACTGAAGAATTCATAAGGCAAGGAATGCATGAACTTAAATTAGCTTTATAACAGCTTGATAATACAATCTCAGCTGATAACAACAATTTATCAGTAGTCTTTTACACTTCAATCTCCATATTTTATCATATAAAATGCAAATCTAATCATGGAACTAAGTGTTAAATATTACAAGGAATGTCCCGTGAAACTAAAAGTTCCATCTTGGGGATTTAATTATGTGGTATGTGGTTCCTGAAAATAAACATCATATAACCGACTATTCAGATGCTGGAACTATCACACTTGTTATTCATCTAATGAAATGTAAGAATAAATGAAGTATATACTTTTGTCTTCCAGAGAAATTTTCCAGTGAAAATATAGTCTATTCTTTGGTAAAATTAGATTTATTGGAATTGAGTTTGTTAGGAACTGAATAGTACTCAGGTTTTTAGATTTAATTCAACTGTGAGATTATTATTATTCCCCTCGATTCCGAGTGGAACATAGGGTTTCAACGGCACGTCTTCATTTCACTCTAATCTATGCAGTCCTTTTTGGTTGGCTCCACAACTACCCATAAGCTTTCATTTCTTCTTCAAACGGTCTCCACTCTGTCGCCCTTGGGCCGACGTCTAAGTCATCGTTACTCGTCCTCGTGGAATACGATGTCACTCAACGGTTTTCTTGGCGCATATCTTATCGATGTTCATTTCCTTCGGCAGATTACCTGACCAACCTGTTCTTGATTGGTTCCTTGCGAGATTTCCCAGTTGCTTATCTTTTCTGGCCGACCATCTGAACTTTAGTATAGAGTGAAGGCAGTTGTTGATAAAAGTCTGTCACCTGTTGGCAGCCTTATATATAAGTTAGTGGAAATTTGCCAGTTGTCCAAAAAAAGAATTTATCAGATTTCAAGTTATCAGACGACTGACAGAAGTCGATGGAGTTATTTATAACTAAATGCAGCCGTTTTGTTTAACTTGAATAATAGTTGAAAGATTTTATAACGTAGCTGAATTTTCTCTTCATTCGAACTGAAAAGAATTTCGTGTCGCAGGCACACTATGTACCTGTACTTGTATCTAATAATCGACAATAAAGTCATAATTTGATGGATGGTGACTAACAGTGGAATCCAAGATGAACATTTCCTCTTATTTGGGACGACATTCCCCAGTGAGTGATGGTGTTCCTCCTGAGACTCGAACCCACTGCCCATCGTTTCAAACGCCAAAGCGTTATCCACTAGACCCCTTCGGCTACGATAGCCACCTTTTGTACTTTTAATTCAATCCTGATTTTTCTGTTAATTGAATGAACCGAAATGTTTGGCCTCTGTTGAAATAACGAAATGCACATCCTGGATTCTACCACTGATCACCACAAATCAAATTTCTTCAAGTTAATCCTCAGACATCATCTAAGCGTCTTTACTAGAAGCCGACATGTCAAAATTAAAATCTTATTCATGGTCAAAAAAACCCTGTAAATCTTGATTATTCATTGAATTACTCTTAGTTACTTTGAATCAGTTAACCTACATATCTCCTTCAACGATAGCGATTTCCTTTGGTTCCGAGTGGAATATAAACCTTCAGCAACAAATTCCCAGTGTATTCTGTTCTCTGTTATATTTTTTTAGCTGTCTGCCCAATATGTATGTAGTTCTAATTTACACTGACAGATATACGAGTTATGATGAAGGTTAGAGAAAATGTAAGACTACACCTCTGGGGTCATGATAATACTGAATAAACTGTTCATCTCAATTTGCTTTAATTGAGCCGTCACATAGCTGCTTTATTTAGCTTTGACTTATATGTCCTTGTATTTTATATTGTCTTTTTTGTTTGTTAAGGTTCTCGATTTAATACAATGTGTGAACGTGGTCTAGCTTCACTGGATGTTATCTATACAATTCCAGAAGATAGTGGTACTTACTTCTGTGTTATTTCAAATCCATACGGGAATGCACAAAGTCAACCAGTTCCTGTGAAGTAAGTTTAGTATAAACGAAAATGTGTCTAAAAATTCTCTTTATACTTTTTTTATACTGGAGTCTTGTAATATTAAATAAATTACCTAACTGGATTACATGTACTACTAGCAAAGTAGTGTGTCAGCATTGACCAAATGTTCTCTGCCTTCTGTTAAATGATAATTATATCTCACTAATTAACCTCATGAATATAAAAAACTACTTATCGTCCACACACATGAACGCAAATTGAAGATGAAATACAGTGGCTTCAAGTAGACTGTTACATGTGAAGTGTTTCATTTAATATTGTCCTCACTTCTGACCGGGTGGACCCCACTGCTCATGACTTCCCACTAGATAGTCACTAGCGAGCATCAGATTAATTTTCAGGAGTTAATTTGTAGGGATTTGATTTGTTTCCAGTTTGACTGGGGATTGATATCACCTATGACACTGGCTGGTGGTCACTCTAAAATCACGAATTGGTAAAAGTTAGAATTCATTGACTGGCGACTGAGTCGAATCCCAATAGCTGGATGGCCGGCATGCTTGACATTTTGCTGGAAGGTCCACTGGGACTTGACTCAATGACTCATGAGTTCGAACTTCTGTCAATTGGCGATTTTAATGCGACCAACAGCCAATTCCATCGGCGAGTATTTGTCCTCACTCCCAACCGGGTGTAACCCACTGGTCATGACTTCTCATTAGAATTCTGGACAACTTCGTCCTGTAGCCAATCGCTAGTGACTGATGATGAGTCACAAACTGGGGCGAAACACCTGTCCAGTGTTCTCTCTGGTTTTCAATGGTTCTCTATTTGATAACAATCCATGGTTAAACTCAGATTACATTTATGTTTGAAAAGAGAAAGGATAAATACTTAATAATAATAATAATAATATAATATAGCTTGAGCATACTTTTATTTATCAAGGAAGAATCAGTCGTTAAGTAAGGAATTTTCTGTTCTGTTTTTTTCTACATTATTACGAAATAATCTGCCTAATTACAAACTCAAAAAGTGTACTAACTTGAGACATAGTCAAAATAGAAAATAAGTAGCTTCATGCTAAAATTAACACAATAATGATAAGAAAAAAATGAATAATACTGGAAATAGGTCTTGTTCATATGGAAACATTAAAAAATCACTTTTGCATCAAATTCTCACTACTGGATAATGTGGACGGTTACGGAACTACTCAAATTAGTCAGTTAAGTAGTATATAGTACCATGCGGTTATGGTTACTTTCTTAATTATCATTTGTGGTATCAAGCAAATGACATATTGCGCTCGGAATAATTTCCGCTTCCAAATGAAACTGTAGTGGAATCTCAGCTCTTTAAACTGTGTAAACTGCTAGTCTGATTCGTCCAGTTACCAGTTCACCGAAGTATTTAACTAGAATTCAAGTGATTTGAACTGATTCAGTCCTCTAAACTGAATCATACTGGGTACACTGTAGATCACTTCGATAATCTAGCTAGTAAACATTACTGGTTGATGTGATTGGTGTGCAGTTGCTCACGTCAATCAATCAATATGACGCAGGACTAATTTTAGTTTTCTACTTACAAAGTTCATTTAAAGTTCTGTTGTCAGCGAAAGATGAATAGTTGTATAGAATGGTATGGAAAAAAAATACGAAAAAGTGGAAAAGCAACTGAAACAGTATTCTGTCTGTTTGAGATGGAATTGAAACACTTGTTCCTAATGCTTTAAAACACAACGACTAAAATATATGCAGACTGGATCCTATAATTCAGCACATACATAGATAGTAGCAACATTATATAATGGGCTTTATTATTTAACTTTCCTACCCGATTGATTATGCGATTCTTGAGGCGATTTCAGAAAAATAAGAAGTAAAATCAGCAATCAAAAATAGTAACAATAGAAAATGCTTTTGGATTTTCTATAGATTCTAAAGGTTGTCTTATATATGTGTAACAAGTTTTTATAGAAAATGGTTGGGGGATTCGATCATCAGCTGACATCAGTTAAAGTACCATTGGAAAACCTGGGAGTACTAGACAGCTGTTTCGTCCTAGTTTGGGACTCTTCAACAGTACGCACCCAATGGGGTGCATAACTCCTAGGTTTTCCAGTGGTTCTCTAACTGATGTCAGCTCATCATGGAATCCTCCAACCAATCAAACAAAATCCCTACAAAACCAATAATTGAAAATTTTATAGACAGTATTAGATTTCAGCGTTTTCTTAGCAAGAAGGCTGAATTTGCTAACGATACCCCGGAGAGCTATTCTGGCTCACAACTAACCTTTTGTAATGGTTATAATTATTGGTTAATGGGGAGTAATCAGTGTCATTTGTCTATTTATTAGTAGTACTGTTGATTGTCATCAACTATCTAACATTAGTTTAAAAGATGTGTCACAGTGGCGAGTCTTTTAGACGTATGATCAGATCATCACAAATCAATGAGAAACAGAACAAGTAGTTCATAAATTCATTGAAGGTGACTATTTGAAATTTTGAAAGACTGATCATTGAACAAAGAATTTTCTTCTGAATAAATTCGTCATCAGGTTCTATACTTTTATGACCACAATAATTAAACAATGATTGTTATTCACAACATCAGTATGTTTTAAATTACACTAAATCAATAGTATCGACAGATCATATTTCAAAGGCATCAGTAAGAGAAAAATATGCACCTCAATAAGACACTAAACTAAATGTTCAGGTAAATTAGAGAAAGTAATAAAGGATTAATGAATTTATATGCTTCATTGTGGTGAAAGCTGGCTGCAAGCCAAAATTGTAGATAACAGCTTACTTCAATGTTCACGTCCCGAATCACGGTCATGAGAAAAACGATAACAAGGCTTAACCTTGAGAGAATCACCAACCAATCACAGCAGGCTTAACGTGTGCAAATACGTTTCGCAGATATATGGCTTAACTTTCTGAGAAAAAGTTTCGAGCAGTACAGAATAACCTTCAGCGAGAAAACAACTAATCAGAAGACGTTGCTTCTGTGCTAAAATAACGAATAATAATGTACGTAAAAATCTATATCTCTTGATTTTATCCATAAACGATCTGTTTCCTGGCCCTTGTCTTCTGTCGTTACACCATAACAGGCAAGGGTAGCAATACTGGCTGTCTGGAACCATTCCTTTTCCACTCAGAGCTCCCCGTTTTGAGTGTTCCGTATCTAGAAACCTTTGATAATTTATTCGATACTGGATAGATGATACAGGGAGACCCTTCAGTGTTAGCTTTGTGGCGTGTTTGCACGAAGTTACCTGATATCGAAGTGTTGATGGTTTTAACAACACCTTTACTTAGTCACACCCACAGGTGTTCCCGAGCAGGAAACACTAAGTTTGTAGAGTAACGGCCAATATAACAGTCATCACAGGAGCAATTGGATTTATAGATGCAATTAAAGGTGGCTAGCTTGGGTACTTCTGTAAAAACAGAAGACAAGGGCCAGGCAACAGATCGTTTATTAAGGAAATCAACAGATATTTATAGATTTTCATGCACTTTATTATAAATCATTGTTAGGAGAAAAACACAGTCTTTTGATTGGTTGTTTCTCACTGAAAGTTAATCTTTCATCTCTTTGTGGCTGTTTCTTGAATGTCAGATCATCTATATGCTAATTGTATCCACCTACGCAAAGTCTGGTTGTTGAATCAGTCTTTGTTCATATTTTTCTCACGACCAATATTGAGGACGTAAACATTGACGTAAATTACTGTCTACCGATTTGGCTAGCAGCCAGATCTCACCACACTTCATCTTTCAGTTTTTAAATCACAGCTGGTTGTGCGGAAATTATAAGCTACAAGCTACAGGCATTAAACGTTATTTGAATCGATCTTCTCAACATGTTGGTTATTATTTCACTCGGTATATCACCTATTAGTTGTAGTCAGATATACAGAGGCTTCTTGTAAATAGAAACAGAGGAATTCTTTTCTACTTTATTGGCCATGTGTTTAGTGATAAACCTTTCAAGGGGAGCTGTTTTCAGTTAACGTGTCGTGAATTGAAAGACAGATTTCAACCGACACCACTAACGACTTGGTACACTACTCTGGTAACTCTCCTGTAGCCAAACAGTATATAGCAAAATTTTAACAGAGAGGTACAAAATTATATCTTCACGTTTGGAGGGTTTATTATTGAATGATTAAGCTAATTGAGTTGAGCAGTTTATAGGAAATTTTTGTCATGTAACTCCTTATTCTGCGTCGGTGGCACAGCGGTAGAATGCTCGCCGACCACGTAGGAGGTCCGAGGTTCGATCCCCGGCCACCGACGCACTCCTTTACCTCGCTAAGCCAGTAATAGAACTGGCAAAGAGGGAAGGTTGGGTATGAGACTAGCTACCGAAACTTTAAGCCTGTAGCTTGAAGCCCTATGTTCCAATGGGAACTTAAAAGAATAAAAAACAACAACTCCTTATTCATAATTAGATGATGGAATTTTATAGGGATTTGGATTAACTTCAATGCAGATCTCATCACGAACTAACATCAGTTAGAGGTCATTGAAAACTAAGGAACACTGGACAACTGATTCGTCCCAGACTGGCACTCTTCATCAGTTCACATCCAGGGCCTCATGTGGGATCGAGTTCGGGACCTTCAGATTTAATTCAAAGCCTTAAAAGTCAGAAATTATTTCCCTTATCAAGAAATTGGATTTAATTAGCCATAGAATATTCTCATTTTCACATTTGTTTACATGATTTCCTGAAGGTATATGGCAAGTAATTATAGCACAAACATTTCCTAGTATTTCTCTCCTAAAGAATACACAGATACTACTACACTATACACACACACACATAAACAGTCTCGTTAAGGTCATTCAAAGTGCACATTTTTATTAAAATGTCTCGTCACAAAACTATCGATCTTCATCTTATATGTATACACATCTTGCTAAAGAGATGAATGATGTTTGGCGTTTAACACACTGTGTGCGTCTTTTCTACAATGCAAAACAAATTCCACTGAATACA